GTCAAGGATCTAGTATAAAGTGATGCTTGCAATGGCAACACTCCGGTATTATCAGCCGGGTGGCAGTGCAGCTGTACACGGTGACCTGCTTCATCCGATATTGCCTAGCAAAAGATAGGGCCAGCTTGCGTGCAGGTACAGAATCCCAGTCTCAATAGCGAGCAAGCAGGTTAGCAGGATAAGTGACTATTTTTGCATATTGCCTGCGAGTCCCCGGGGAACACAATGGCGTTTCTGAGCTCCAGTGTTTGTAATTAAGAGGATGGCATCTTTGGGCTAGAGTGTACGGGAGAAAATCATTTTCACAGCACCTAGAGGGCTTTGGAGTCGTGCTTGCTGACAGATGGAGAACCTTTCTGAAGGCTCCATAACCTTTTGCCCTCTGAGACTGTACTTTTGACACTGCAAGATTGGGATGATATAGATGTTTGTGCGCGGCTGATAGCGTGGTGATTTTTAAAACAATGAGGATTTTATTATGGTATTATAATGAACTATATGCAAACTACGAAACCCTGACAAAGCCTCGGTGTCACCGGTGAGAGTAAAGCATAATTGCTCAGCAGCTAGTGTTTTGCTGAGGGAGACTTCTGTGTTGCGCAGCAATCAGATATAGAGAAAAAAGCCAGCAGGTGAGATTTCACATGCTTTCAGATCTTGACCTCAGGAATGTCATGCCACTTTTTTTCCATACATCTTTTTTACGTATAGATCTTTATGGGGAAAGTGTTTGAGAGAGGGAGAGGGCGAGAGAGAGAGACTTCATTCACATTCCAAGTCTGCTTTCTGTCTCACACGTATTAAATTTCACAAAACAGAAAGAAACAATAGAGCTTATTAAGAAAAACTTGTTTTGAATGGCAAATTAAGCATAATAGAAATACACACGTTTTTACAAGTACTTATTTCTTTTCACCAGTTGAACAGTTCTAACCTTTTTGAAAGTATATACAGTACTTGTCTCTGCAAAATGTTTCTGTTTTAGTTCGTTTTCACCACGTCACCCTGTTGTATACATCTGTTTTACAATTTTAATTCGAGCAGTTCAGAATCCCTAATAAATCCGAGCACGTTCATTCTCTGGACAGGTATTAACCACATGAGTTGAATACCCCCGAGGCAGTTAGGAACAGCCTCAGTTCTGGTGCCTCCGTTCAACATCTTGGAGCTGCAATGCACCTCTGCGGATAAATTGGTGTCCAGTGTGAATCCTTAGACATGGAAATAATGACTAAGATGATTCCCTGGGTGGAATCCACAGTCTCAGCATTCGTCTTTACCGCCAGTATTCTTCCTTTCTGTGCATCTTAACACGAGATATGTTAAACAATCTTGGAAAATTATGTCAAAGGAAGTAACAGCCAAAGAAGCCATATGTTCGTGGAACATAACCGCTTTGCACTGGGGATCAAACCCCGCTCACCTCTCTGTCCTGGCGTGCAAATATTTAACACAGAAATCCTTTGGAGATCAAATGTAAAGGGAGACAAGATCTCATTGTTTTCCCATCGCTACATTCAGAAGCACAGACCGTCAGCTGCTTAGCACAGGGGGCAAAGGTTAGCTCGGCTGCTTCCATATACGTATCTCCAACTCGCCTGTTCTCGACATGCATGCCGCTGCGCACCTAGTGTTTTTGAAAAACTCTCTAAGCCTACGGGAGTCTGGTGCTGAGCGCTGCGATGCTCTGGACTCTCCACAGCCCAGCTCATGCAGCGATGTGGGGACTTGTTTTCTCAGCCTACGATGTCAGCACGCCACAGACTCATGACAATCTTACCATCTGCATGCTCGGGGAGACTCTCATCAAATATTCTCAAACAGAGGCTTAGCATCCAAAAATCAAACCACCGCCCAGCCGCACGCACACGCGAAAACAGCTAAGGAGCTATTTTAAGCAGGTTCATCCCGGAGTAGCAGGTTCCTCGCCCCGGGCCCGTAACAGTGCAGGCACTTTTCTTTGTTCGCTTAACCCCACACTTCCCATCTCAAGGCAGGCACACGTTACGCGAAATCCCTCTCGTTACACTGACTGGGAAGTCACGGCGAGGAGCGTGTCATTTCGGGTGCGGAGAACGCACTCGTGTGAACCACCGCAGGGTCCCGCCGCAGCGCCGGGCTTCCCCGCG